GCCAGTGGTTAAGAGATCAGGAGCGAGCCTTGGAATCTGATCCTCACAGCTGACATAAATTCTTCCTCATCTGCCATAACTGTGGCTAACAGCAGGCAGCTGGACCTCTTAACTAGGGTTTCCTAACCTTCAAACTGGTTGACATGAAAAACTTGCTTAGCGTTAACCGTGATTGACAGTGTCGCTTCCAAAATCTGTATTAGGGCAAATCCTTTTATTAGCGTAACCAGAATGTTGCAGAATAACGTGCAAGGTTTTGAGTTCTACAGAGTTCTTCTTTTGGCTAGATGGTAAGCAAAGCAAGGGGGAAGTGGCCGATGTTGAAATTGTGGAGTTTGCATCCCAAGGGCTGTGATTGACTAAATGCAATGTTGGAAAGAGATAGGCGGTGTTCGTATGAGGTTCTGTTAGGTGCTATGCAGGCTTCTGGATGGACCCGCAGAAGCTGAGCAGGAGGAACGAACAGCTGTTGTTTCCAAGGATCAGTCAAAGGTTGATTCCCCCACCCCTATATTTGAAAATATATAAATCTAGCTGTTGGCCAGGTCTGCTTCAATTCTTAGGTTGTACACATAGGTTTTTTGGTAGGATGAGAAGAGGAGTAAAGAGAAACCAGGCTGCTTGTGTTATTGTAGAAACTAGGTAGTTTTTATCTTGTTGCAGTTGCTATTGGGGAGTTATTGATGTAACCCTTGACTGTGCCTTGAGTTGGGGAGGCGGGTTTCATGCTGGAGAGCCTGTGATCCTCTGCCCTGCCCCCAGTCTCCTTTTGCTGTTCCCAATCTCTTAGCCAGCTTTAGGAAATCGAGAGCAATATCCTTTTGCAGCGACCCAGGTTTGCAGAGAGCGGATTTTCAAAAAGCTCCTTTTTCTTGCCTTGGGGGTTGTTTTCCTCCCATAAATCAGCCTGTGAACTTCAGATATCCACCAGTAAACACTTAAGAAATAAAGGAGAAAAGCTTTCATAGTAATAAAACCCAGACTTCCCATGGATCTGGGTTTGTCCAGATAGCTTATCGGGAGAGCCAAATGCAGACACTCCAGTAGCAGAGTACTTGTTGATTCAGCTGTGCTCCTGTTGAAACAGCACCGGTGATGCATGGATCCCATTGGCAAAGTTCAGCAGATAATATCTGCTGAAATCCTCCCTCCGGTTGATCTTTTCCTTTACTTTTTCCTCCCTCCAGCAGCTACAAAAAATGCACATGCAGCCTGCTTCATATCAGTGCATACATTTAGGCGTGGTGCCCTGTTACGGCATCTCTAGACAGTGCAGAATCCTAGAAACACATCGTCATCAAGAACGCTTCCGATGTGCCGTGTTTTGAGGGGGAGGTGTTAACTTTATGGATACGGTTGCTGGGTGCTGGATGAAGCTCGGGGTTTGGTTAGTTTAATTCAGCTAGGAAACGTGTCTGTTTAATCTGAATGATTCAGCAAGTGCTCCTTCCAGTTCCATTGCACAAAGGCTGGTATTGGAAATTGTGCATTGCTGGTGAGTATTCATTTCTGAAGCAGAGAAGGCCCTAGCATCCAGATCTGCAGGAAGCAAAGCATGTCTTACACTTGAAAATAGATGGGTAGTGTTATAGCTATTGGGTGGTTGCTCGAGAGCAATCAGACAAGATGCCTCACTGGTCTGTTCTAAAGCTTTACTATTGGTGCTAAAAACTTTTCCAATGCAGAGCGCCTCTATTAAATGTCTTGCTCACTCGCTAGCAGAATCTGAGAGTGGGCGGTCCTTAAATCTTCCCCAGCAGAGTAGTCTCTTGACCCCCAGCCTACGCCTCCCCTCTCTGCATGAAATCCTACTGCGCAATGAAGGCTTGGGTAAAGGGGGACCTCCCTCCTCCCGCTTTGCTCAGGCAAGGTGTCCTGGCACCGCATTGCATCCTCCGAGCCCTGCATCTCCTCCCCACTAGAGGCATGGCTTCCTTCCTCCGCTGAGGAAGTGCTGCTTCCCACGATTTTTGGGGGCTCTCTGTAATCCATCCGCCTTTCCCCCCCTCACCCCTGAGCCGATGGCAGTTCCCTGACAGGTAGTAACAGTGAGGGTCTTCATTTCCTTCAGTTGGTGAGAGGGTAGTGACCATTTTGGTTCATGAAAGATACTAGCAGCCTCATATCTACCATTGCTTGGGAATTCAAAGAAACACAAAAATCAGCACAGTTCTGAAATTGGTGGTTAAAATCGGTGCAGTTTTGAAAGGTTCGGCCTGCCATCTTGGTTTACAGTGGGGCCCACTTGTATCTAAATATAGAGGGGAAACCTGCTGCTTTATCTCAGGAACCAAAATTCTCAAGAAGTGTCCAAATACTTAGCCAACAAGCAGCCAACTTTCCAAAATATATAGCAGATGTACTGTGCTGCCGATTTCTCTTCGTTATTTTTACGCTCATACATGAATGAATCTTGGGGAAGGGGGAAAATGAGTGGGTGGTATTCAGCTAGGTTTGACAAAGGTTGGCCCATTGACATGAATAAACATTAATAACAGGTCCATTAATTTCAGCGGGTCTACTCTGAGTAAGACTTCGCTGAATGCCACCCAGTATATAATGATTATATGGGGAAGCAAAATATGCAGCTAAAGTATTAACACTACTCAGAAAACCAATACGCAACTTAATTTTTACAAACAATAATTATGGTGTGCAAAACTTCTAACTATTATGCAAGTCTGTTTTTATAGTCCAGCCTAGTTAAAGGCTTTGCTGTGTTCCAGCTATATAATAACTTATCCTAAATATTAAGGAAAGAGAAAACAAATAACATGATCGCTACTTGCCCAAGCAAAGATTCAAAGGAACCCGTTTCTGTGAGTTCGGGGAAGAGCTAAGAGATGCAAGATGCTACAAGTAATCCAGGTGGAATCCTGTGCACAATCCTTATTAAGGGGGAAAGGTTGGAAAACTGAAATTGTGAGTGTAAACCTCACCTGGCAACAAGCAAAAGCCAGAAGCCAAAATCTCTTCCAAGTTGTTTACAGGTCAAAGCCCCAAAGGACTGGTTTGTAGGAGAATGGCTACAAACAGCTTCAGAACTTGAAGGGACAGGTTCAAAGTAAGACATCCTTTCATCTAGCAAAAAGGCCTCAGAACAAGCCAACCTTGATCAGAAAAGCTTGGAGCTAAGCAAAACGACAGACAGACAGACATGCGCTCTGGGATCGGTGATGAAGGCTGGCATATAAAATCTAAATAAATACGTTGTCTTTGTTGTTCTGGAAATCTGGTGGCAGTTCTCTAACTCCCATCAGTTGCATTTTAGCACACAAGTCTTAGCCACTGCCGATTCAAGCAGAATCTGTTCTGCCAACTGAAAAATAAATAAATTGAGATCTCCTCCCTCAAATGACACAGCATGTTAACCTGTCGCTGGGAGAGCACTCTAGGAACATGTCAACTTAGAAAGCAAAATAGAGCAGGGTTTGATGTCTCGCCGCATTATTGTTTTTATCCTGCGCAGTGATATTTCTTTAGCACACTGATTAGAAATGAAGTGTGAAGCTTGAGTGAAGTACTGCAGGGAAGAGAACTTCAAATGTCTCGCATCTGGTTTCTTTACCAAGCAGACGCCTTAGCAAAGAGAAGTTATGGCTAACCATTGAACCGGCCTCACAGAAATCAAACGAAAGGCACGCACCAGCCTGCTCTCCTGCCCGTACATCCATGCAGGGTCTTGGATGACTTTAAAAAAGAATAAGAAGAATTCTGTGTTGCATTTAGTCTCAGTTCTGCAAGTGGAATCCTGCAGCCCATATAAGTTGTGCAGCTGAAAAGATCTGATTGTTTTCCCTTGCTTTTGTTTCCTTCTGAACTGATATGTTGGCGACCATGAAAAGAGGTGTGTTGATGCAGAGATACGTTAAAGGGTGTGTGTGGATGTGCACAGAAACTCCGTGGATGGTAAAAGAGACAGACATGTCCATTCATATAATTTATTCTTATGCCTCCATTCCACAAGATGGTATCCGGAGTGGTTTACAGCATCAAATGGACAACCGTTCCCAGGTAACACTATAAACAGGTAGCACTATGCAAATAAAAGTTTTAAACCTGGGATGGGGAACTTGTGACCTTCCTGGTGTCATTGGACTTCAAGTCCCATCATCCCTTGGCTGGGGTGGATGGGGACTGGGGGGCCCCAGATTCCTGCATCCCTGGTTTAAACTAACCTAATCATTTAATCTTAAAAAGCAGAGACATCACCTTGCCAACAAAGGTCCGTATAGTAAAAGCTGTGGTTTTCCCAGTAGTGATGTATGGAAGTGAGAGCTGGACCATAAAGAAGGCTGATCGCCGAAGAATTGATGCTTTTGAATTATGGCGCTGGAGGAGATTCTTGAAAGTCCCGTGGACTGCAAGAAGATCAAACCTACCCATTCTTAAGGAAATCAGCCCTGAGTGCTTACTGGAAGGACAGATCGTGAAGCTGAGGCTCCAATACTTTGGCCGCCTGATGAGAAGAGAAGACTCCCTGGAAAAGACCCTGATGTTGGGAAAGATTGAGGGCACAAGGAGAAGGGGACGACAGAGGACGAGATGGTTGGGTAGTGTTCTTGAAGCTACCAGCATGAGTTTGACCAAACTGCGGGAGGCAGTGGAAGACAGGAGTGCCTGGCGTGCTCTGGTCCATGGGGTCACGAAGAGTCGGACACGACTAAACAACTAAACAATCATTTAACACCAATAAGGAGAGAGAAACAAGGACTAACATGGGAATAAAATGCAATGCACACAAGGCCAAATAGATCTTACCATTTTAGGAAGGCAGCATAGGAGTCTCCCATCTGCCTGTCCTCCCCCCACACACCCCCTCAGCAAATGACAGTGCTCCCAACAACCCACCCATACCAAGAGAACTGTCAAAATGATGAATCTTGATTTGCAAAGAGGCAGCATCCATCAGAACAGTCTTGCCGCAAACATCCTCTTTTTATTTTAACTTATCAACAATCTTAAACTTTGCCTGCATTTTCTCTCTCTCTCTTTTTCAGTTGAAAAATGTATTTAATATGACAGCCAAGGAAGGAAGGAGAAAATCTGTCAGTGCCCTGGTGGTGGTTGGAAATGGAAATGGAATTGCTGGTAAGTGAGCACTTCATTCTCAGGGGGCAGCTTCTGTTCATTTCATAACCGTAGCAACCCACTATTTTTCTATAACTTCTTTTCAGTTGCGTTTCTGTTTCTTTGGTGTGTGCGTCTCCATCCAGGGTTTGTGCTCTGTGTTGGCTGCAGCCCTTGAATGTGTGCTTTTGTCTATCATCTTCCGTATCTCATGCCCAAGTTATTTTCGATCTTCATCACCCAAGGGGTGGAAGGGGGAGAATTTCTGCAAGGGTGGAAGGAGATAGAACACAGTATTGCCTGAAGCGTGGAAAGGCCAAGGAACTGGTCAGGAGAGGAGGGTTTTGCCCCCGAGTGGAAGGCTGTTTCCTGTCCTCTGACTCGAAAGGACACTTCGGCCTTTGCAACGCACAAAGTTTGGCTGCCCCTGTTTAAAAATACTGCTGCTAAGGGGCTTTTCCTGACTGTCAGCAATTTTCTTTGGAACATTGTTAAATACGAACTTAGCAAGGAAATAACACTTCTCTTGCAGCTGCTTCTAAAATACACCATCAGACACCAATTTATTTTTCCTCGGAGAGTAAGAATCTAAGCTGTTGCCAAGATTACAGCCCAGCAGCAAAGCCACCCTCGTTGGCTGTGTTCTCGGGATGTAGATTAATACAGGGTCCTTTGCTTTTAATTTGCAGAGGTTGGATGGCCATGTGTCATGGATGCTTTGCTTGGGATTCCTGCGTCGCAGGAGGTCCCTTCCAACACCACGATTCTATAATTACGCTCTGTGGTTCCCGGCGGCACTCTGTTCCATGAAAGCCAAGACTTGTGCCGTTTAATTGCACGGAAAGTAGATTGATCAAGGAGCCAAGGGCACATTTAGTAAGGTTTTTTGCTCCCTTTTGCTGAAAGCTGGCAAGCCGTTCCACAGACGGAAGGGAGAAGTGAAGACTTTCACAACTGCTATCTGATTCCTTGAGCACATTTCTGGACAGTTTTAGCGTCCTTCGGGGGGGGGGGAAGCCAACCTGAAAATGCAAAAGCACTTCAGGACTGCCACTTGCATCAGTGGGGCGAAGTGCAGAGATATGAGGAGGCCTCCTTGTTCGCAAGTGCTTTGCAGATGTCCGCGTGCGGCATTTGTCTACTAACCAATCTGTTTTCATCCCTCAGGTTTTGCACTGGGAAAAGCAACGGACAGGATGATTGCATTGAGGAAAGTATGTCCTTTGAAAAGTAGTAATAATAATTATGATGATGATGATGGGATGCGGGTAGCGCTGTGGATTAAACCACAGAGCCTAGGACTTGCCGATCAGAAGGTCAGCAGTTCGAATCCCCGCGGCGGGGTGAGCTCCCGTTGCTCGGTCCCTGCTCCTGCCAACCTAGCAGTTCGAAAGCACGTCAAAGTGCAAGTAGATAAATAGGTACCGCTCCGGCGGGAAGGTAAACAGCATTTCCATGAGCTGCTCTGGTTCACCAGAAGCGGCTTAGTCATGCTGGCCCCATGACCCGGAAGCTGTACACCGGCTCCTTCGGCCAATAAAGTGAGATGAGCGCCGCAACCCCAGAGTCAGTCATGACTGGACCTAATGGTCAGGGGTCCTTTACCTTTAATAATAATAATAATAATAATTTATTATTTATACCCTGCCCATCTGCCTGGGTTTCCCCAGCCACTCTGGGCGGCTTCCAACAGAATATTAAAATACAATCGTCTATTAAACATTAAAAGCTTCCCTAAACAGGGCTGCCTTCAGATGTCTTCCTTCAAATCTGGTCTTCCTTTTCTTGGTATTTATGCATGAAATGCACACAGTGCCGTGGTTCTGTCCTGGCATGAGAACATACTGGGGGGACGGAATGTAGCTCAGTGATGGGAGCGCCTGCAATGCTTGCAAGTTTCTATCCCTATCATTTTTAGTAGAACTGGGAAAGGTTCCCTGCCTGAGGCCCCCTGCCAGTCATCATAGATGGTGCTGTAGCTAGATAGACTAATGATCTGACTCGGTAGAAGGCAGATTCCTTTGTTCCATGTGAAGGACACTGGAAACTTGGGCCAGCCTCTAACCAGCTGGGGGATCTGTTGCTCTCTTTGCCAAAGGGGACATAGCTGTGTTGTTAGATTTCCTCCCTCCTCCAGTTCCTGCTCTCCCTCCATGTATGCAAAAAAAAATGAGCTTGAGGATCTGCTATCCTTCAGGAACAGCTTTTCAGGGGCGTGCCGGCAGCAGTTGAGGGGAGTAAAAGAAGCGGGACATCTCGCCCATTGTTCCTTTTAGACCCCCAAATAGCTGACATTGCCAGTGTGGGCAGGTAGGCTGGCAAGTTTGGTTGGGCATAGTCTGTGGTACTTTATAAAAGCATTTTGATCCCTTTTAATTTATCCAGCTAATTACATTTCAGGTCGGTACGTAATTGGCAGAAATAGCTCTTATTTTTGAGCCGCTTCCTTTTTATCTTAAATTCGATCTCGCCGTAAAATGGAAACAGTCATCTGACATAATCATTTCTTAATGAAAAGTGTCTTCTTGGATTTTTCCCCCCCTAGGCGAAGAACAGAGCTATCCACTATTTGCACTATATCGAAAGATACGAAGATCACACAAGTAAGTTGCAAGATTTTAGACTCTACCTAAGGTTTTAAAAGCCAGCTAGTTGCATTACTTCTTCTTGTAGAATTTGTAGAGTTGGAAGGGACTCCAGGGGTCATCTAGACCAACCCCCTGCAATGCAGGAATCGCAGCTAAAGCATCCCTAACAGGCAGCCATCAAAGCTCTGATTAAAAAACCTCCAATAAAAAGAGTCCATCGCCCTCCAAGGGAGTCCATTCCACTGTCAAAAAGCTCTTACCACCAGAAGTCGTCCCGTCCCCCCATGTTTGGTTGGAATCTCCTTTCTTGTAACTTGAATCCATTGTCTCATGTCCTACCCCCCCCCCCAGAGCAGGAGAAAACAACCGTGGTCCATCTTCCATGTGACAGCCCTTTTGAACTTTAACAGGGAGAAATGTAAAGTATTGCACTTGGGCAAAAAAAATGAGAAGCACAAATACAAGATGGGTGACACCTGGCTTGAGAGCAGTACATGTGAAAAGGATCTAGGAGTCTTGGTTGACCACAAACTTGACATGAGCCAACAGTGTGACGCGGCAGCTAAAAAAGCCAATGCAATTCTGGGCTGCATCAATAGGAGTATAGCATCTAGATCAAGGGAAGTAATAGTGCCACTGTATTCTGCTCTGGTCAGACCTCACCTGGAGCACTGTGTCCAGTTCTGGGCACCACAGTTCAAGAAGGACACTGACAAACTGGAATGTGTCCAGAGTAGGGCAACCAAAATGGTCAAAGGCCTGGAAACGATGCCTTATGAGGAACGGCTAAGGGAGCTGGGCATGTTTAGCCTGGAGAAGAGGAGGTTAAGGGGTGATATGATAGCCATGTTCAAATATATAAAAGGATGTCGTATAGAGGAGGGAGAAAGGTTGTTTTCTGCTGCTCCAGAGAAGCGGACACGGAGCATGGATCCAAACTACAAGAAGAAGATTCCACCTAACATTAGGAAGAACTTCCTGACAGTAAGAGCTGTTCGACAGTGGAATTTGCTGCCAAGGAGTGTGGTGGAGTCTCCTCTTTGGAGGTCTTTAAGCAGAGGCTTGACAACCATATGTCAGGAGTGCTCTGATGGTGTTTCCTGCTTGGCAGGGGGTTGGACTCGATGGCCCTTGTGGTCTCTTCCAACTCTATGATTCTATGATATTTGAAGATGGCTATCATATCTCCTCTTTTCCCAGCTAAACATACCCACCTCCCTCAACCGTTCCTCATAAGGCTTGGTCTCCAGACCCTTGACCCTCTTGATTGCCCTCCTCTGCCCACGTTCCAGTTTGTCAGTATCCCCCTCATTAAATTGTGGTGCCCAGAACTGGACACAGTATTCCAGGTGTGGTCTGACCAA